GAAAGCGTTAGAATCACAAAGGGAATATATGGAAAAATATCATATAGGTAAGGTCATATCTGGATGAATGTCAGATAGACACGACAATATCTGTTTGGTAGGTACAAAGTGAGTTGGACTTTGACCACAAGGTGAACATGGATAACGACACAACCTCGGGTGAATGCACATGAGGATGGAACATTCTTAATATGCATATGTATATGAATTATGCAAATGATATATGATCAAATGAAAGTGCGGATATCAAAGACTGATTCCTTAACACGAAGATCACTGCCATTCTGCTTAGGGACATGTCATACCCTAATTTTTGAACCTAAGATCCCTTTTCTTTGCGCTTTGTCTTGCATAGCATCGTTAAGGGTACGTTTTCGTTTGTACAATTTATCTTGACTGACCATCTTATGTAGGTGCAATATTTTCTAGCACAGCTCCTAACGATCAAACACTTTAGATCTTAACATTTCTAATTAAGGGATTCTAAGGTTTCAAGGTTATCAGAACATCAGTTTAATGGCATGATCATGATACGATCACCGTCCTAGCGTCAAATTCGAAGGAATGATTGATTGTGGTAGCTTTATTGAATTGAACCAATTTCTTTCAAAACTCAAGATCCAACTTAATTTCAGGAGTCAGGTTGCGTCCATAATTCAAATTGTGTATATTGGAGTTACATCCAAGTCCTTAAACCCCTTGTTCAGGGTTCAAGGCTTTACTCATGGAGTTTCTTCGTGTACAAGTCATGAACCCACAGAGATACAATTTGAAAGTTCACTTTAAGCTAATAAAATTCACTACAAGTTCAAAACACGAGAATCCGGGTTAATAATTCAATCTACAAGAACAAGATAATTCTTAAGCGATATTCATCAGAATCTAATTCCAAAATCCAGTGTTCATGTTATTACGAAATTCAAACCCAATCCCAAGACTTCAACACTATTGTCTTTAAATTCAAACCAGTATCTCAAAGGCTAAGAGGATTCGAATGCGGGATTGCAAACTCTAGTAAGTTCAAATCAAGGATCTCATTGAAATTCATGTTACGATTTCATCTTCATGATATACAAGTTTTATGTATAATTTGAAAGGCTCCATATTCGAGTTCTAAATATATTCAATTTTACTCAAGGAGGTTCCATATCATGGATTGGCAAGCTGAATTTGTAAGTCCATTAAAGAATAAGTTTAGCTAGGGATTTCCTATTCTACATTATAATTTCATAACCACAAGACAATTTAATACCAAATGCGAATCTCGAATGATCCTCCCACAGAAGTATACACAAGGTTTGATTCCAATTTAAAATTCAATAAGTAATTACAATGGCCAGATTCAAGGAGCCAAGTGACCAAGTCATTATGATTTTTACAACTGAAATGAAAAACGACTTTCGATGAGGACTTAGTCGGCCATAGGAATACTGATGAGATCCTCTACTCCCTCTTTGAACAGAAACCCTCCAAATCCAAGACCTTCTCAAGATATAAAGAGATATCATTTCCAAAGTCAGCTCATTAAAACAAATATAATATAAAATAACATGAAAGTGGTTATTAATTCCTTGCAACGGCAAGGCCGCTGGTTTACCATCACGCCACATCAACAAACCGACTCGCCAGCCACATCAAAAAATCCTCTCCCCCTGGAACCTTGGCCATAGTCAAGAAGTTCCTCAATCCCTTTTAGGAGAACTACGAATACTTTGATTCCACTCCCGTCAGGATACATAGGCACAAGATGCGATTTCTTGGCGAGTATACTTAGAAATAAACCCCTAGGCCTTTCACCCTTAGCTAACAACAATAACACAAATATAACAAGAGGTTCTTGTAGAGTACTACAGATTCTTAGGATGCTAAAACCTTCCCTAAGTTTAACCAACCCCGAACCATAGATTCTTTAGCTTTGCGTTGCATTGTATATTTAGGTTATTCGATCTTTTTCCCTTTCCTTGGACAAATTAAAGACCAAAGACCGGTGGTGAACAATGAATTAAGATTCAAATTAATTCAATAATTTGATATTTAATTCTCACTGCGACAAAAATGGCGACTTCACTAGGAACTAGAAGAATTAGGGTTTCCCCTAACTTGTTTTATATTGTGTGTTTATTGTTTATATATATATTTACTTATCTATATGTATGTTTATATTTATGCTTTGGGTTGTTATCCTTGTGTGGTGAGGAATGTCCTACACCCAAACTTGAGTGTACTTATGATAGGAAGGTGATATATTTGAGAAGGCTATAGGGAGTGATTCCCGACCAAGCTGACTTGAGAATCACCGCTCAATTGAGGCCCTCTTGAAATTGGTATTGTTGAACGAGTATTAGTGAAGACAATTACTATTTTCGACCTAGGAGCCTATGATACTAGGGACCTTTAGTTACCTTTAACCCCACTTGCCTTTTCTTAGGACGTAGTGCGATGACTATGAGGGAGTATTCCCAAAATAGTTGATACGCGATGCTACACTCAAAAGAGGTTCTCTTGAGAATATTATTAACTACCGAGTATTTGAGAAATTGATAATATCCAAAAGATGGACTAATGACTTTGGGAACCTTTTAGAACCCGTGTTCTGCAGGTACATTCAAACTTTAGTCCACACCTTTTAGGGATGGGTATACCCTTTACCACCATGTTTACAAACCTAGGTTTCCTGTCTGTTTTTATCCTTGTGTATCTTTGTGTTTGCCTGTGTTTATGCATCTGTTACATTCATAAAGCATCATATTGCATTGGTTTCATGGAATTTATATTTTTATTTATAAACATTGCAGAACCAATATGGATTACAAAAGGAAAAATACTTTGAAATATTCTTTTAAGAGTCTTAACTTGGATGGCCTAAGGAAGTTGGAAGCTCTGATTGAAAACCAAGAAAAATTCAAAGACAAGTACGAGAAACTTTTATCATTATTAAAGATCCAGGTGGACAGTGGGTTTCTTTATTACTTTCTGACCAGAAAAGAAAAGAGCGGGAGGATTTATTTTCCTCTAAACCCTCAGACTACCCCTTGGAAATTAATCATCGACAAGCTTATCTTCGAGAAGGTCCAGCTGGAATAGCAGATCAAGAGGCACAACGCAAGACTTCCTTAGGACTTTATTAGCTTTTATTTAGCTGTTATGTCAGAACTCTTTAAAGAATATTTATTTGTAATCCGTTATCAAAATTAATAAATGAGTTTTCTTTGGTATTCTACAACGTTTGTAAATGCTCGGTGAAATACTGGTATCAGATATGAGATGTCGAAGGAGATGTAACGACACTAATATCTGAATAATTACCAAACTATGAACAAGATAAGAAGCAGTTAACAATTGTAAAGAGACGCAAGAAATTGTTAACCCAGTTTGGTGCAAACACACCTACGTCTAGGGGTTACCAAGTCAGGAAGGAAATCCACTAAACAAAATTAGTTTGAAGACACACATCAAACTCTCTCTACTTTACAATCGTCGCACCTAATCTCTACCAGTGTAACTTCTATCTAAGACACTCTCAGATATGAGACACCTCTCACTCCCTCAATCACATGTAGTAATAAAAACATAATATCCAGAAGTAGAAGACACACTTCAAGGACAACACTTGACCTTGCTTAAAAGATTAGAGTGGAAAACTTACAACTCAAAGAACAATGCATTCGTGCTTAAAAGATTAGAGTGGACAACTTACAACTCAAAGAACTTAGTCCAATTCACACATCAATGAATATGAGTGATATGTATAACTATTAATTGATAATGGTGTTCATATACTAGATTAATAGAATACATATGAGATAGGTTAATGAACTCTAATCATGACATGTTTCTTTAAACGATATTTTATGAATCATTTAGCATTGTTACAATATTTAGCGAATTTTCTTTTCACAATCAAAAACCCTTACTTAGAACATTGTTAACGGTAGAACAGATGTGATATCGCACTAATCCATATGGATACGATAAAATAAATACTTGCCCTAGCAAAAGTGTTTCAAGACTTTAACAAAACAGCTATATTTCGACATAGTCGAACACTAGCTTTCTGCAAAGACAATGAATTACAACTTCTAACAGATTTCAAAATTAATCGTACAATTTATAAATAAATAAATAAAATTTAAAAATGATAATATTTTAAAAATAACTTTTAAAAATACAAAGAAAATAAATTTATTTTTTAAAAACTAAAACAAACACCTCCTTAAACTAAGTCAAAAATTCTTCTTATTATTGACAACATTATTGTCCATAGCTCTAAAACTCATCAATCACTACCAGGAAAAGTATATAAACATGAGCTACTTTCAACAACTGTCTAGACCTATTTATACAATTCAAGTATGCTAAATTATTGCTCAAAGCATGAACCTGGTCCAGCAGGAGGAGTTCTAGCATAAGAATTTGTGACAGGAGCAGCTGGAACCCCTCTTCTATTCAACAGACATCTGAAGTATTGCAGTCGCGACAATGGAGTCAAGTTACCATTTCTGCCTGTAGTAAATTGTATCGGACTCCACAAACGCTCTGTTTGAAACATGCAATTAATTGTTAATTTTTCATATTAAAGATTTAAGGCAGGCATGTCTGACACCTACAGGACATTAACACGTGTGGTTACATATAACCACTAAGTTATTATGTGCCTACATGTCAATGGTATCAGTGTTGTGCCGGGGTCTATGTCTCTGTCAATACTTTTGAATCTATACAGCTAAGTTAACTATAAGAGGGAATGAAACTCAACTTTACAAGATTCATTGTAATTAAATATTGTTTACTAAGATGCAGGAATGTAAAACTTCTTTGGATTAGTAAGATGACTAACCCGCTGCTGCTGCAGCTCGAGGCCATATTGTTTGCTGAAAATCTGATGTATCAGCTACCTCAGCCCACATGCAAACTTCTCCTCCAAGCACAAGTTTTTGTTCAGAAGCTTCATGTATTCCTTCTAGTGGGTCGGTGTTATATACAACATCCCAAGGTACATCTCAATGGTCAAGATACCATACACGCTGGTTACTGAAAATACACCTGAAGCCTTTTGTAACAACCTTCGGGCAAACACCAGAGCTCCACCTATAGAAATAATTCAAATACTTAGGACTGAGTCTTTTGAGCGTCGGGCCAAAATAAAACTACATGGCAAGATGGACAAGAACTCGCCAGTTATGAATTACTGTTTGTGGATGGAGCTTTGTGGGAAACGCATTGAAGGTTTCTTCCCTAATAAGTTACATAAAAGGTTGCATCTTAAAATATGGAATATAGTAAATTGAAGTACAAAAGACAAAACATGTAATATTTACATATATTTATCATACCAGTTCACAGGAGTCCAGTTTTTCGAAAGAGCCATGTCTTGGGCCTTCAATACAAAATATTCGTAAGCATCCTTAGCAGTCATGTTGTGATTCTGAAGCCTGCATTAGAGATAAAGTCACGTCTGAATATTATGCTTGATGCATGACAACAATCAAATTCAGTGATTTTGACGGATAGACCACCAGATATGGAAAACGACTTTCTATGTCAAGGTTCGCATTTTCAATTAAATTTGAGTTTCCATAGTAAATTTACAGCTCTAGGCAATAGAAAAAAATCATCTGGAATGTAAACGAATGAATATAAAAGGTTATAGTTTGTACCACTTATTCACACGAGAAGTATTGGTCCAGCAATCTGTCAAAATAATCAGTAATTTCTTATAAATTAGCATTGATACAAAATGGCTTATAACTTGCACTAAATAAATTTTTCTTTTTTATTATGATTATTATCATTTCAATTGCTATGAAACCACAAACGTTGTTGCACATTTCCATACTATAACTATAGTTTATAGAAATGATTCATAGGACAAACTAAGATTGTACAAATAATAAAAATGATTCATAGGACTTTGGTTAACAGATTAAATATTTCATGCCAAGTGGTTATTTAGCACGCCGCGAGAAGAAAGTCAAGCATACCAACCTGTATTCACTTCATCACCACCCAAGTGAAATAGTTCAAAGGGGAATATTTTTCTCATATCTGTAAATTTAGAAGAAAATAGTTAAAAAAGTAAAACGGCAAAATTTCATTTACAAGGTCAGTGTACATAGTAATGTAAGTATGCACATTCGAAAATCGTTACATGTTTTATAGGAACTTAACCTGTCATAATGCCAGAAAGTACATCAAAGGTAGACTTCTTTGAAACATCGAGTGGGCTACTACACGAGGGTGACGGCCAAACATCTGGATATCCAATACCCCTAAACAGAAACAAAACATAACAATCTTAAAACATTACTAAGTAAACTAAGCCTTTGTATATATTGAAAAGACTATCAGCTTAAGAGAAAACTGAGCATGGCATAAGCTTTACCATGACTTTGCATGACCAGGGACATCCACTTCTGCCATCACATTTATACCTGAGATAAATCATGCAAATAGATAGAAGCTTCCATTACTTTATTCCGAAAAAGAAAAAAAAATTACATTATCTTGCAAGATCAAAACAAAGTGCTCTGAATAATACGAAATGGAAACTTCAAAAGGATTTCGAGGCAAAGCTTTATCTTACCTCTCATTTTGGCAAAGCTTTTATATCATGACAAAGTATAACTTGAAAAGAGAACAGTCTTAGTCAGGCATTACTTGATAAAGCCAACTCAAAGACGTAACACGGAGTATCTTACTTGACAATTTCAGATGCATCCTCAACTGTGTATCGTTCCCACTTTGAGTATGAACCTTCCCACAAGTTTGGATATGAAGGTGCTTCAAGAGGAAATGATTGTTCGTCTACGATGTGCCAATGTAAAACATTCTGCCATGTAAAACATTCCATATCAGCAGTTCATGAAAAACAGCATGGTTTCAAAATGTCAAACAACCAATAGGAAAGTACAAAGGAACTCATGATATTTCTCGTACAAGTTTGGCATATGACATAGATTCAATTATCTGCTTAATAACATTAATTGGTAAATAGTGTCTTGATGTATCTGCAACGCAAAGAAACCAAAGATTTGTGTCAATGGCCTCTTATCAAAGCATATGAACAAACCGAATAAAATATAAACTAGTCTCTTTTACAAAATATATTGCATCACCTAATGAGGCCGCGAAAAGGAAATCTTGGTTTGTCCCGGATGGACCAAGGTGCCTTGTGTATTTGTACTCTTTTCGTTGAATAATCAAAAGAACACAATTGACTGAACGTCTTCGTAATCATCATAAAAAAAAGGAAGGATGTAAGAAATAAGTCACATATAACTCAAGGATTTACAAGTTTGTCAGTCATTTAGAAACTATGTCATGTATTTTGTCCACAACACTAGTTGAAAATAACAAAACAACAATTGTTCAGGTTTGTTTTCAAGTATCAGATTTTTTGAATAAGGTGCAAATTCAAAACTTACCTCTAATCCACGCAATGCACCAAAAACAGTATTTGCCTGCATTAAAAAAAACACAATTTAAATGACCAAAATCCAATTGATTTGTTTGGTTCTATTCCAATTTCAAAGAAGTAAAAGACAAAACAACGTAACAATTCAAAGACAATTGGTTGACCAAACAACATAAGAAAACTATCATAAAATAAATATGTAACGTCGACTCTGAACGTTGGGTGTCACTATCTGATATGACACCGACACATTTGATTAGTACAATTTATTTCTTTTTTTCAAATCATTATAAACGTGTCCATGTCTATGATTCATAGTTAAAAACAACGTTTGAGATTCACACAACAATAGACAGAAAACAACAACAGACATTAGAATTCAACAAATGACGGTCGCAAAAACAAAACAAAACCAAACCTCAATGGTCACTTTGCCAGAACCAGTTGCTTTTATAACTAACAAATTATAGCTTTCGTCAACTCCAAGTTGAAGCTGCAACAAATTTTCAAAATCTCAAAATCAAAACATCCTCAAAACCACAACAGAAAAATTTTAAAACAAGAAGTAACCTACCTCTTCACTTTTGTTATGAACAATGACATTCAACTTGTTAACATCGTAAACAGTGTTGACTGTTCTCACAAAGCCGTTGTGACTGAACACTATCCCTTTGAATCTATAAAAACCGGCTTTGAGAATTGGCGAGTTAGCACCGTTTCCGATGAGGGAAAGTGTTGGACCAACGGAAAGAGTTTCATTACCGAATGTAAATTTAGCAGGGAGAGGCCAAATAAATGGAAGTGAATGGTGTGATTGTGAGAATCTGGCTGCGAATGACTGAGAAATGAAGAATGTGAAAACAATGACGAGTAATGTAGGTTTGTAGCAGCAACACCAACCCATGGCTGAACCTTAACTTTTTATGCTTCTCATAAAAAGATACATATGCTCTTCCTGAAGTGCCCTTCAAATCACCATCGTTAGTTTTGTTCGACGGAACCCAAGAAACACGTTATCACCATCAACGCCCATGGTTGAAGCTTAAAAAGCGTAGTGAATTGCAGGAAGAAAAAAACTGTGAGAGGCAGAGATAGTAATGGCTTGGTTTGGTTTTAAGGCATTGATGAATGAACGTTGAGTGGGTGAGTTACATTACCACGTGAATTAGGATATGTTTTTTCTGAACAATCTGAAACTTGAATGAAGGAGAAGCATGTTTGTTATTTTACTATATATATGTTTCTCGGATTTATGAGCCACTCTTTGGCCAAAGTTAAACGAGGGGTGTTATTTGAACATCAAAAAGTAAGCACCGTATACCAAAACCGTATAGAAAGAAATACTTCTTCTATAAATATTAATTTAACATGAAGAGAGAAAAAACTAATTAAAAATTGAAACCGTTATTTACTACTACCTTATAAAATATACGGTGTTGGAGACCTAAAATAGTGTCCACATAACATTTTTAAAATTAAAGAGCTGAATTATGCTCCTTCTCTTATTATTTTACATTATCCTTTTAGAGCACTATATATACTTCTCATAAAAATAAAGCAATTATTCTTTTATATCTATTTTTTTTTTTTAATTATCATACATTTATTTATTAACTTTCACGCTTCATATATAACAAAGACGAGAGGGATGTAGCCCTCCAAATGAGCGAAGATCATATGTCGTTTATAAGGGGAATCGTCTCGCTTAAAGTATCTTCCACTCACCCTGTTATGGAAAACATCGAGTAATACGTTTTTTTGGATAGAGAGAAGTCAGAGGCAATAGTTGATACACGTATCCCTGGAAAGTAGGGATTCAACGGTCTAGTACTTCGACTGAGTGGGTGGTTATCATTCCCAAAGAAAACCTAGGCTCAATGGCCTTTATAAATACTGCTTTCGAGAGATCATAACTTAACCAGTATTAAGCATATCATAGAGCTTCTCACTTCATGTGAGCTCATACCACTGAAAACTCCATAACACTGCCATACAGGACTTCTCGCCGCTGCGAGCAAGCTATAACTGATATAAGCATACTAAGACATCTCAGTATCCCCTACCCTTGTAAGGATACCACGCATACCTGTACTTTTTGACTAGGACAGTGGTGCCCTAGAAAAAATAACTTTGGTCATACCTCTTTCATCATCGTCTTCTCCACCTTCATCGAGGATGGCTTACAAAGCTCCACATTCTAGGGTCGACACCATAGTTGAGATTTTGCCGGTGGAGAAGGCTCTAATTCTTCCTGGAGGAAATACGTCAGGCAGGTGTTGCTGACAACGAACATCATATCCCCAAGGTTCCTCAAAAAGGAACAAGGATAATCCATAATCGACATCAGCTTCTCTAGCAGTGATGCTGCCAGAATCCTGCCTCACTATAATAACCTTTTGGTCATCACTGTGCAACAAGGAAGCTGAGACATCAAGTGTGTCCTGATAGATCCTTGGAGTTCTGTTGACGTCTTGTTCTGGAATGCTTTCCAGGGGCACCAACTTGACCCCAATGACATCAAGCCATCAGGTTCGTTAATAGGAGTGTCAGGTGAACATATACAAGTGAAAAGCCACATAACCCTAGAGACAACATGTGGCGAGGAACAACCACCAAGGAAATCAAAGTCAGCTACCTTCTAGTCGACGCCATGTCGCCCTAAAACATCATTTTAGGTTGCCCAGCCATCAATGGATTGGAGGCGATTATTTCCACCCAATATTTGGTCCTAAATACCCGCTGCCTGGTGGGCGAGTCGTGACAATTTGAGAAGACCAACAAATTACTCAAGAGTGTTACCGGAACAACTTACCAATGGAAAAGGAAGAGCTCGCCCTTGGGGGCGCCCCCCTTCCTGTTCCTGAAGCCCTAGATGCAGACATTGATTGTTGGGATCCCATGTTAGGAGCTGACAAAGAGAGACTCGCGCCCACAGAGGACTTGAAGGAAGTCAGGATAAGCCCTTCAGCCCATCAAATGACAAAGATATGCACTTCGCTTATCAAGGAAGAAGAATGCGAGCTAGTCGACCAATTCGTCAGAAATGTTGACTTGTTCACCTGAGCTCCCTTTGACATGTCAGGGGTAAACACTAGAGTGGTATGACATCACCTCACCGTTGACCCTTCTGCCAAACAAGTTACGCAATGGAAGCGGAAAGTTGGCGAGGAGAAGAGAGTCGTCATTGACAAGAAAGTAGGCAAGTTGGCTAGTGTCGAGCAGAAACCAAGTATCCGACCTAGTTAGCTAATGTGGTGTTGGTGAGGAAAACAACAAAGAAGTTGGAAATGTGTGTAGAATTCACTTACCTAAATATTGTCTGCCCTAAGGACTCATATCCTTTGTCAAATATTGATCGTCTTATTGATGGGTCCACAGGCTATTGCACGTTGAGTGTCATGGATGTCTACTCAAGGTACAATCAGATTCACACGAATCCCCATGACGCATTCAAGACAACCTTCATGTCGAATCAGGGCAACTACTACTACAATTTCATGCTCTCCGGCCTCAAGAACGTTAGCGCCACCTAGCAGCGATTCATGGACGTTGTGTTCTCCCACCAGATATAGTGGAACCTAAAGGTCTATGTCGATGACATTATAGTCAAAACCACCAAAGGGCGCAGCCATGCTACGGACTTAGAGGTTGTCTTGTGTAACACCCCAGACTGCTTTTAGGATCAATTTTTATAAATTAGAAAAACTTGAAAAATTAGGATCAAATGTTAACAACACTTGCAGAAATTCATATCAGATGTTTACAACAATTTATTTTCGTCGGTCCAATTCAAGAAAAAAGTAAAATTATTTCTACTAATCAAGTGCCCATTGAAAGAAATATTTCTGTTATCACATAAATAGAAAAGAAAATGTTAATATTTTTTTAAGGACAAGGAAGAAGGTGGTGAAATCATTTTGAAATGGGTAAACCTTCTTCCTCTCACTCCAAATTGACAATGAAGCTTCTCGTCGACACTAAGAACAACAAAGTTCTGTTCGCTGAAGCATCCAAATCGGTTGTTGATTTTCTTCTCAACATTCTCTATTTGCCTTTGGCTACTGTTTCTAAACTTGTCGAGAAAAATGGAATGCTCCCTGGCATAGGTAACGTCTATCGTAGTCTCCAAAACCTCTCTGACAACAACAATAAGATGGACATGCAGGTAACTGTTGGAAATAAGACCTTTTGTGTTTAAGAAAAGTGTGTGGGAATATTAGAGGCTTAAAGAGAAACTTGATAGGTAGAAGAATTATTTATGGAAGAGAGAACTTTGTATTTTTCTTGATACAAAAGTGTAGAATTACATCTCTATTTATAGTACTCTAAGGAGAACTCTAGACACATTAATTCTAGAGAGTTCTCAACTCTAGGAATTCCAAGAGCATTCTAGAGAATATTACAACCTTAAGAAATATCTAGACACTCCAAACATTACAAGAGTTTTCTAGAAACATTAATTAAAATTACCTAAGTCCAAAACAACTAAGCCCAAAAATCCAAATAATATTTTAGGCCCAAATCAAGTTTAATCTTTCAACAGTAACATCTATGGTAGTCTCAAACAACAACAATGGTATTTATGAAATGGATCATCACATTGTTATTTATGAATGGCAAAATAATCTATCATCTTTAAAGGGCAAAATTGGAATTCTAAGCGACAGATAGAGTTTTGATTGATGTGAAAATGAAAGAATTGATTTTGAGATTAAAAAAAAAGTTGAATGTACTTGTTAAAGGCATGAATCATCAAAATGAAAATCCTCAGTATTATAGAATTGATGTAGTGGATGAGATTGTTCAAAATAACCGCAGATGAATCACCATCATCTCCCATCGATAGAGTTATTATGAATTCCATTGAAGCGATTGAAGATGGGTTTGTAGAGGGGTAACATAATGTTTACTTCAGTTGCAAGCAATCCAAGTTAACAAAGCCACAAAGAAAATTGAAGATTTAGGTGGTGGTGAGCCAAAGAGTTCAATTTTGAATTAAAAGAGCTTCCACCATACTTGAAATATGTATTCTTGGGAGAACAATTGCTGCAACCGGCCATTACCAGTAGTTTGTTGTCTATTTTGGAAGAAGAAAGGCTTTTGAGTGTACTAAGAGGTAATAAAAAAACACTTAGTTGGAATGTTACTGATTTGAAAGGAATAAATTTCGTCCATTGCATGCAGGTACAAGATTAAATTTGAGGAAGAATTCAAGCCGGTAGTTCAACCTCAACGAAGATTAAATTCTACCATAAAAGAATTTGTCAAAAAAAAAAGTGTTTAAGCTACTCAAAGCCCCTATGATCTATCTTATTTCTGATAGTTATTTGATGAGTCTCATGCATGTAGTTTCAAATAAGACAGGTATGACCCTCGTCCGGAATGAGAAGAACGAGTTGATTCTAAGTCGCACAGTTATTGGATGGCGCATGTGTATTGATTATCACAGGTTGAATCAAACTAAGCAAAATGATCATTTTCCATTACCTTTTATGGATCTAATGTTGGAAAGTTTAGCATGTCAAACTTACTATTGTTTCTTAAATGGATATCCGGGATATAACTAAATTGTCATAGATCACGCTGATCTAGAGAAGATTGCTTTCACATTCTCCTTTGGAGTTTTTGCTTATCGCAAGATGCGTTTCAGTGTATGCAATGTTCGAGCTACTTTTCAAAGGTGTGTGTTTTTCATCTTTTTTGATATGATAAAAAATTCCATTGAGGTATTTATGGATGATTTTATTGTATTTGGTAGTACTTTGGATATTTGTCTTGATAACCTTAATGTCATTTTGAAGAGATGTGTTGAAACGAATCTAATTTTAAATTGGAAAAATGTCATTTTATGGTGACCGAAAGTATCATTTTAGGACACAAGATCTCATCAACTGGCATTGAGGTTGGTCACGCTAAAATAAAGATCATTGAAAAATTACCTCTTCCCATAAATGTGAAAGAAGTGAGAAGTTTTTAAGAACACATCAATTTTTATCGACATTTCATAAAAGATTTCTCAAGTATTGCAAAACCTCTTTACAACCTCTTAATGAAAGAAAATCATTTTGAGTTTGATATTAAATGTTTGAAATCTTTTTCTACTATTAAAAAAAAGTTAGTCGTCACTCCAAATTGGAAACTTCCCTTTAAACTTATATGTGATACAAGTGATTACGTACTATGAACAATTATTAGTCAACGTCATCAGAAAATTTTCCATGAAATTTACTGTGTGTGACTTACTCCACCACTGAAAAGAATTGTTAGCTATGATATTTGCATTGGAAAACTTTCATCCTTATCTAATTGATTCTAAAGTTGTTGTTTTCACAGATCATGCAACACTGTTCTAAACCAAGATTAATCATATGGATATTGTTGTTACAAAAATTTAACTTAGAAATTAAGGATAAGAGGGGCATGAAAAATGTATTAGTCCATTGCCTCTTAAAGGTTGAAAAATAGTGAAGTGACTCAGAAGGAAAAGAATATCAATTTTATAAAGAGGCTCATCACTATTTATGGGTCCGATACAAGCATTATGCTTCAGGTGGTGTCAATAATGATTATGTTTGGGTCCCATTTTCATTACAGTATCTATGGGCTCGAGTTGAATCCAAATGCACGTTAGCAGTTTATCAACTAGAAAGGAAAATAACTAAACTTTTTTCTCAAGATACACTCACACACAGAACAAAATCATCATTATAACCTTCCAAACATCTCCGAATTTCATTCAATGTTATGATAGATCTTAGACCTAGTCCCCCTCCTCAAGAGTCCGTCAACACTTATACATTTTCCGAATGAAGTTGCTCAGCACCTCTCAATGCTCTTCATGATTGAAACATCCCAAGAATAAATAAGTAGACAATGAAGCAGCATACTTTACCATTTCTAATCTTCCACTAATATATAGTAAATTAGCTTTCCAAATACCTAGTTTAGCTCTCATTTTGTCTTCTATGAAATAGGTTTTGGCTTTCATTTCTAAATGTAGCTATAACACCAATTTTTCATTTATCCAATTATTTGAATTATTATGATTTAGGGCCAATTTATTTTAACTTTTTTTAAAAATGATATTTATAGTGTAACATAATTTTGTGAAAAAAAATTTACAAAAAACCTTTTCATAAAAGCTTCAAATGAAAATTTACTTTGAATAGTTATTTTTAAAATGTGATTTTAAATATATCAATATTTTATCGAAAATTGTTTAGAAATCAAAATTTCAAAAAATCATTTAATTTTGAAGCTATTTCAAACAACTTTATTTTTAAAATTGTAACTTCGACTATGTTTTAAAATTTCAAAAAATCATTTAATTTTGAAGCCATTTCTACGAATCGATGAAGTTCAAAATTACTGAAAAATGAAGATCTGAAGAATTAATGTCTCTTTATTGGTGTTGAACTCAATTCTATTGATTGCAGCCAAATTTTCTTCGATTCGTTGAATCCTCTAGTTCAAAGTCGATGAGAGACTCACGTTAGAGAAATGTACTTAGAGATAGGGAATCATAAGATACGCAGGAACCAAGTGTCAGTTCCCACAGATGGCAACATTGTTCTGTTCTGGAATAAAAAATATGTGGTCAAGGAAGCTAAGACGGAGGAGGGCTTCTGATGCGACAGAACGGGGGACGTACCTGTAAGGTTAGCACTCCAATACTCAAGTTAGTAAGTGAAAGATGAGGGAGTATTCAACTTTTGTTTGAAATTTGTTGTCTGAAATGGTGGCTCCATCCACATATATAGGGGGCGAAATAACTAACTTGTTAACTTTCCGACGTTGAATGCGAAAGACTGTTGGATGCGTTGGAGGGATAGATCTCCTAGTTTTAGATTATTGAAGGTTCAGTAGTCAGGATAATGTTCCATAAGATTTAGTATATACTTGAGTTGGATGTTACGCATTCTGGTTTCGGTTTAGAAAAGGAACGCTCATGGATCAGATCTATCTGGGAGTCATTTCCTTATGGTGGTCGGATTATTGAAGGAGGGGCCTGATTGCAGAGGATATGGCCGGCTCATGACACTTGTCATTTCTAATCTTATCTTGTTTAGTTTTCCCACTTATCCAACGCAGCATTCTCATCTTTACTGCACTTAATTTATTCTCGTGTTAATTCTTAAGTGTCTAACATTGTCTCATATAACATTGCAAGCCTTACCGCAGTCTGATAAAAACTCTCCCTTCAACTTAAGTTGTACCATTCTATCACATAAGTATCCCTAAAGAAGTCATACCCCACTTACCTATTGATTTCCAAAACATGGATACCTTGAAAGGGCAGCTACTAAAAGAGGAGATGTTCCCTTAGGCCGGATGACTCTCTTATAGAGATTATGTTTGCAAGCTTCTAATCTCTGAACATTTTATTTATTATCATAGTATCTTATTTTTCAGAATGATACTGATGTTTACATCTTTTGGTTAAAAAATTGAATTAATAGTTTTCTTTTTCAAAATAATAATTATAATTTTATAAGCTATGCATGCAACATAAAATAGGTGGGTGATAGTAAACATAAATTTTTTTCTTATTATTGAATTGAATACGATGATAACTTACAACATCATTAGTGTCCACAGATCTAGAATTCATCAACCACTACCTGTCTAGACCTATTAGACAATATTACAAGAATGCTAAAATTATTGCCCATAGCATGAACCTGGTCCAGTAGGAGGATTTCTAGCATAAAAATTTGTGACAGGAGCAGCTGCAACCCCTCTTCTATTCAGCAGACATCTGAAGTATTGCAGTCGCGGTAATGCAGTTAAGTTACCATTTCTACCTGTCGTAAATTGTCTCGGACTCCACAAACGTTCTGTTCGAAACATGCAATTAACGGTTAATTTTTCATATTTTCAAATTTTAAGGTGTGTCTGACATCAACACGACACTAACACATGCTGTTACACATCTTTGGATTAGTAAGACAGCTAACCTGCGGCTGCAGCAGCCCGAGGCCATATTGTTTGCTGAATATCCGATGTATCAACTACCTCAGCCCACATGCAAACTTCTCCTCCAAGCACAAGTTTTTGTTCAGAAGCTTCATGTATTCCTTCTACTGGGTCGGCGTTATAGACAACATCCCAAGGTACATCTACATGGTCAAGATACCATACACCCTGGTTACTGAAAATACACCTCAAGCCTTTTGCAACAACCTTCGGGCAAACACCGGCGCCCAACCTATAGAAATAATTACTTAAAATACTTTAGGACTGAGTCGTTTGAGATTCCGGCCAAAATAAAACTACATGGACGAGAACTCACCAGTTATGCACTACAGTTCGTGGATGGAGCTTTGTCGGAAACGTATTGAAGGTTTCTTCCCTGATAAATTACATAAAAAGGTCGCATTTAAATAATATGGCTACGACTATTGCTCAAAATATTCGTAAGCATGGATAGATCTATATATCATACCAGTTCACAGGACTCCAGTTTTTCGAAAGAGCTATGTGTTGAGCTTTCAGTACAAAATATTTGTAAGCATCGTTAGCAGTCATGTTGTGATTCTGAAGCCTGCATTAAAGATAAAGTCATTGCTGAATATTTTGCTTGATGCATGACAATAATCATCATTGATTTTGAGGATTAATTTTCTTTGACCACCAGATATGGGGGGAAAACGACTTTCTATGTCGAGGTTCAAATTCGCAATTAAATTTTAGTTTCCGTAGTAAATTTACAGCTCTAGGCAATAAAAAAATCATCATAGAAGGTTAAAATTTGTACCACTTATTCACACGAGAAGTATTGGTCCAACAATCTGTCAAAATAAACAGTGATTTCTTATAAATTAGCATTGATACAAAATGGCTTATAACTTGCAATAAACAATTTTTTTTGTTATTATGATTATTATCATTTCAATTGCTGTGAAGCCGCAAACATAGTTACACATTTCCATACTAAAGTTTATAGACTATAGTGACAAACTTTGATCATACTAATAACAAAAATGATTCAGAGGACTTTGGTTAACAGATTAAAGATTTTCTGTCAAGAAGAAAGCCATGCATACCAACCTGTATCCACTTCATCACCACCCAAGTGAAATAGTTCAAAGGGGAATATTTTTCTCATATCTGTAAATTTAGAAGAAAATAGTTAGAAAAGTAAAACGGCTAAAAAAAAAATCATTTATAAGGTCAGTGTATATAGTAAGGCAAGTATGCACATTCACTAATCGATGCGTGTTTTATAGGAGCTTAACCTGTCATAATGCCAGAAAGTACATCAAAGGTAGACTGCTTTGAAACATCGAGTGGGCTCATACACGAGGGCGATGGCCAAACATCTGGATATCCAATACCCCTAAACAGAAACAGAAAATAACAACATTAAAACATTACTAAGGTAAACTGAGCCTCAGTATAAATTGAAAAGACTCTCAGCTTAAGAGAAAATCGAGCATTGCATAAGCTTTACCATGACTTTGCATGACCAGGGACATCCACTTCTGCCATCACATTTATACCTGTGATGAATCATGCAAATTGAAACTTCCATTATCTTATTCAGAAAAACAAAAAATTACATTATCTTGCTAGATTGAAACTGCAAAGTGATGTGAATAATACGAAATGGAAACTTCAAAAGGATTTCGAGGCACCTTACCTCTCATTTTGGCAAAGCTTTATATCATGACAATGTAAAACATGAATAGAAAACAGCGTTAGTCAGGCATAGATTGAGAAAGCCAACTCAAAAACGTAACACGGAGTATCTTACTTGACAATTTCATATGCATCCTCAACTGTGTATCGTTCCCACTTTGAATATGAACCTTTCCACAAATTCGGATATGAAGGTACTTCAAGAGGAAATGATTGTTCGTCTACGATGTGCCAATGTAAAACATTCTGCCATGTAAAACATTCCACATCAGCATTACATGAAAAACAGCATGGTTTCAAAATGTCAAACAACCAATAGGAAAGTATAAATGAAGTCATGATATTTCTCTTACAAGTTTGGCATATGACATAGATTCAATTATCTGCTTAATAACATTAACCGGTAAATAGTGTCTTGATGTATCTGCAACACAAAGAAACCGAAAATTTGTGTCAATAGCCTCTTATCCAAGCATATGAACAAACCAAATAAAATATAAACTTGTCTCTTTTACAAAATACACTGGCTCACCTAACATGAGGCCGCGAAAAGGAAATCTAGGTTTGTCTCGGATGGACCAAGGTGCCTTGTATATTTGTACTCTTTTCGTTGAATAATCAAAAGAACACAATTGACTGAACGTCTACATAATCATCATAAAAAAGGATGTAAGAAATTAGTCAAATATAACTCAAAAGGATCTACAAGTTTGCCAATCATAAAGAAACTATGTCATATGTTTTGTCCACAACCGTCTTTGAAAAAATGAGATGAATAAGGTGCAAATTCAATACTTTACCTCTAATCCTCGCAATGCACCAAAAACAGTATTTGCCTGCATAAAAAAATACAAAATTTAAACGACCAAAGATCCAATTGAATTTTTTGGTTCCATTCCAGTTTCAACCAATAAGAAGTGAAACACAAAACAAAACAATCATAGTCAATTTTAAAGAAATTGGTTGACCAAACAACAAAACTATCCTAGTAAGTTTTAAAGACAATTGGTTGACCAAACAACAAAACACATCACAATCAACAAGTACTTGATTGAATTGTTCTTAGCCATAAAAATAATCTATTGAATCAAAAATAAATCCGTAGCACTGACACATCTGAACAAAGCACGCTCAGTGATTCATAGTAAAAACAACACTTGAGATTCACACAACAATAGACAAAAGCATCATTATCAGACATTAGAATTAGAATTCAACAACAACAAATGACAGTGCAAAAACAAAAGCAAACCTCAATAGTGACTTTGCCAGAACCAGTTGCTTTTATAATGAACAAATTATAGCTTTCATCCACTCCAAGTTGAAGCTACAGCAAAATTTCAAAAATCTCAAAATCAAAACATCCTCAAAAGTAACCACAACAGAACAAACCTAAAACAAAAAGTAACCTACCTCTTCAGTTTTGTTATGAACAACGACATTCAACTGATTAACATCGTAAACAGCTTTGTCTGTTGTAACAAAACCGAAGGTGTAACCGTTGTTAGTGAACACTATCCCTTTGAATCTATCAAAACCGGCTTTAACAATTGGCGAGTCAGCAGCGTTTCCGATGAGAGAAAGTGTTGGATCAACGGAAAGAGTTTCATTACCGAATGAGAATTTAGCAGGGAGAGGCCAAATGAAAGGAAGTGATGCGAATGATTGAGAAAAGAAGAATGTGAGAACAATGATGAGGAGTAATGTCGGTTTGTAGCAGGAGCAGGAACCCATGGTTGAAGCTTTACTTTACTAGAGAGAGAGAAATGGTTTTGGTTGGTTTGGTTTGAAGAAGTTGTTAACATATACACGTGAATTAGGATATGTTTTTCTTTTTCTATCAAGAAACTGAAAATGTAAGAAACTTTAATGGGAAACAAATTTTAAATTTAATTGCAGCGAAGCATTTTTGTTATTTTACTATATATACACTTCTCGGATTTAAGACCCACTTTTTGACTTCTGCACTGTTCTCATGAATTTTTATATTTTATAAATTTTTAGTCAAATAATCAATTTTCTCAAACAAATATCTAAACTAATCTATTTTTAAAATCGTCAATTTAACCGGCGAATGTGTACAAATTTAAAATAAAGAAAATATATATAGACGTCAATTAAATTAGTGACTGCTTTAATGTGTGTACAATTTTACTAATTGAATTGACGATTCTAATTTGTTGAATTTTATTTCTTTTAAAAATAAATTAGTTTGAAAAATATATTTAAAAAATGAGTCAGTTTCGATATTTATTTGATAAAATTGGTTATTTGAGTAAAAAAATTTATATTTACTATTTTAATGTACTCTTTTTGACCAAAATATATTTTACTATATATGCTTTTTATAATAATTTCTTTTTGTTTTGAAATAATTATTTTTTATAATATTAATAAAATATTTATTCTTTTTCTCTATTTTTGTGCATTTATTTATTAATTGTGCTACTTAACTAATAAATTATTTTTATATTATTTACATTTTTTATCGTAGTAAGGTTTTGCTATCAAATGTTTCAAAATTCATTTGATATGCCGGGGTCATCTTAATAAATACTCCTCAACAATTTCGTGTAGACCTCAACGTTGCGCGCATCCTCTCCAATATAGTACCGGTGATCGTTTAGATAGAGCTGACCATTAACTTTTTTTTCATTTGTTGTAATTTATATTATATTATAAATTATTATAATTTATTATTTCTTATATTTATATTTTTTTATAAATTATTAAAAATAACAAATTTTATTATTTTTTAATTAAATATAACAAAAACTAAATATTAAATATTAATTAAAGGTGATAAAATATAACAAATATCAAAAATTAAAAAAAAAAAAAAAAAAAAAAAACTCTACATGAGATGCGTCATCCCATATAGCGACTCAATGTAACATTTAGGGCACTCAATTGAACTCACGTGTCATATGAAACAGCGAATCAAGTCTGGGAGACTTGAGTAGCTATTTTATATGTCGAATCCTCACACAAACCCAACCACTTTCGTAATTTTTTTGAATCAATCATTTATTTAAAAATTATTTTAAAAAAACATGTTATATTAAAAAAAATCTCAAATAGAAATTTACAATGTGTATATCTAGAATATGATAATTGTCAAAATTAATTTATTATATTATATTGTGTTATTTGACAATAAAGTTAGACAAAATATGATATAATTATCATATTTTATCTTTTATAATGCAAATTAATTTATCTGACTTTTAGTTTAAGGTATGATAATTAATTTTGATTAGATTGATAATATAAAATTAAATATATTAAAAACGAGTAAAAATAAAATGATTGAGTTAAATCTTAAATTTTAATGTTTATCTATAAATTTTAATTTTAATAAAAATTAATTTTGAAAGTAAAATTAATTTTAGCTTAAAGAAACTAAACAATTTTTAAAAGTAATTTTGTCTTTTAAAAAAAAAAACAACTATACACCTAATTAAACACACTTGTGTCATTTTCATAATATTTTGTCTCCATTACATATTTAGTTGATCGCCTCTCGAGAAACATTTATGCAAATGCACTCTAGAACAAATTTTTTGAATTGCTAAGGGTCTGTTTTTTATACATTTTAAAACTGTTTTTCCTTTATATTTTAAATATGTTTTTATCAAAAAAATTATTTTATAACAAAGTTATTTAAAATAATTTCAATTTAAATAGAGCAAATTACCTCGCACAAAAATCCATGATAGGTGTAGTTCGAATAGATTTGAGATCTAATTTAATAGAGTAAATTTTTAGTACAATAGAGCAAGCATAAACTTGCAAGGTTAATAATACTCTAACATCTTAGTCTTTGAATGAATGTATGAATGATGTGCAAAATAATTGTGACAATAAAAAAATAAAGATAAATATTATTTTAATACAAGTAATAAAAATAAAACTTCAAGTAATAATTTTTTTATTCTATAATTTTTTTTATATATTTGAGTATTTTTATAAATTAAGAAAATAAAAATAAATAAAAGAAATAATCAATAAAATTTTAGATATCTGGTGAGAGAATTAAGTTTTAATTTGGTATGATTTTTAACACTAAAGAGTTAATAAGAAATGTTGTAAAGGAACATGTTATTGAATCCATCCATGAAGAATGTTTTCTTAAAGAAGAATGATGGTAGTCAAGTGTATTAATGGCTGCAAATTTTACATGAGACATGAGGTCTAGTAAAAGGACTGGAAACCAATATTTGACATGAGGTCTAGTAAAAGGACTGGAAACCAATATTTACAAGTTCTAAGTTTATTTAATGATTATATATGTCATAGAACATCACATAATAGACAAGCAAAGAATGAATGGATTGCCAAGAAATTGGCACACATGCGAAGACATAGTCCTAACATGAAATCAATTGAACTTATTGCTGAATCAATTGATAGATAGGGTGTGAAATTTCTAGCTGACCATACCTATATAGCTAAAAGAAGAGAAGTAGAATTGATACAAGGTGCTAGAAGGGGCCAATTTACTCATTTAAGAAGTTATGCATAATAGTTATTGAAGTCAAACTTTAGGAGTAATGTTGTGTTGCAATGTTGCAACTCTAGTAGTGGTCATGTTTTTTTTTTGTGAAAGGATTCATATTTTTTTAGAGGCATGAAAAGCTGGATTTACAAGCACTTGTAGACCACTTACCGGGCTTAATGCTTACTTTTTAAAAGGAGATTATGGGGGACAGTTGATGGCAGTTGTTTGTAGAGATGGAAATAATCAAAAAATTTCAATTGCATATGTTGTTATAAAGGTTGAGACAAAAGATTTTTGGGAGTTGTTCATACACCTTCTACTTGATGACTTGCAAGACATCAATCAATGGCCATATGATTTCATATCTGACTAACAAAAAGTAGTCTATTTTTTTAAATGATTTCTTATAGTGCATTCATAACATATACTTGTCTCAAATGTTCAAAGTGTGAGTGCTCATTATAGAGCAACACCTTTGTGTGAAGCATTTGTATGGAAATTGGAAAAAGAAGCACCCTATAATGGGATTGAAAGAAAGTATGTGGAGTGCAGCAAGGGCTACAACAAGTCTTACTTGGGAAAAGGCAACGTTAAAGATGAAAGCATTAAATGAGGTTGCATGAAAGAAAATGAATGATGTCCCATCACAATTTTGGAGAAGGTCACACTTCAATACTTATTCTAAGTGTGATCTACATGTAAACAATATGCGTGATGTATTTAACAGAGAAATCTTAGAACATAGAGACAAACCTATAATCACTTTATTATAAGGGATTAAACATTATATGACTAAAAGGATTACTAGTCAAAAGGAATTGACGAATAAGAATGTTGGAGAAATTTGCCCTAGGATTCAATTGATACTTGAAAAAAAAACAAGAAATCTGCAGAAGATTGGACTCCTACACGACACGGTGATGATGAATTGACCATATTTTGAGTAACAAATGGCATTGGGACCTATTGTGTCAATTTGAAACATGAAACTTGTGCATGTAGGAAAATGGATTTGTCTAAGATCCTTTTTTGCCATGTCATAACATGTATTTGGCAAAAGAAGAAACAACTATAGGATTGTGTATTTGATTATTATAGGTTTGTGTCATATGTTTGATAAATGGACTGTATTTTTACGCTAACCAAGTTGTTACTTATGTATTGTATCTGTGTGTAGGAAAACCACATTTTAGAAGACTTATTCACATGTCATATACCCAACTAATGGACCACAACTTTGGCCTTTACATGATCAATTACTAGTTCATCCATCATTGATGAAAATGGCAGTTGGACGTCCCAAAAAGCTGATTAACATGACCAATGATAAGTCAAGAAACCCACATGTGCTTCCGAAAAGACTTGTAATTGTTACATATCATAAGTGTAGAGCCATGGGACACAACATGAGGAGTTATAAGAGAAAGAGGGTCACTGATAGGGCAATACTAAAAGGTGGAAACTAGACCAAGAAAAGTCTAAGACCAATACCAACTGTGATGGAAACAAGACCAAAAAGACAAAGACCAAGAAGTCAAAAATTCAGCATGTAATAAATGTGAAACTATTGAATCAAAAGTTGTTGAATTGAACCAAGTTTTAAAGAAATATGAGAAAGGACAACTTGGTTTAGAAAATATGCTAAATAAACAAAGACACTCTAATGATAAATGTGGGCTTCGATATTCTATATTTGATAAACCAAGTACAATCCAAACTATCTTTGTTAAGGCTAGTAATAAATTCAACAATGAGGAATCAAAGAAAGTCCAAGTTGTAATCTATCCTAAGAAGGCCAACGTTAAATATAATTCTTATGTTTCTGAAGATAAGAATTTTTTTAAGCCTACATATTTTTATTGCAATACAAAAGGTTATACTCCTAATGCTTGCTATATAAGAAATTTTGTTATTCCTAATAGTGAGTAAATATGGTTAAGAAAAAGAACTAACCCTAAAAGATCCAAGAAGATTGGTTACCTATAAAGTTTTATTGATTGTTTCATGTAGATACTTGAAAACTATTTGCTAAAATTGTTAAATTAAGATTGATTGTTCAAGATATAAGAAGACCATGTGATATGGTAAAATTAAAAAGTTTAATTCAATTGAAGATGTTTTGAAAAGATTAACACCTTTAAAGAGCATCTCACCGGTATCAACATTATCACTTTAGAAGAGCATATTGACATCAAATCTTTGTGATGAAGATAAGTACTTTAATATATGATGT